ATAAATTAACAATATTATAGGTTCCAAAAAGCCATTATTTGTAAAGATATCACCGAATTTACATTTCATGTAAATAACGGGGTGTAATTAGAAATCTATTTTCGAATAAAGTCTAAGTAAAAAAATGAATCCATATATTTTAATGATTACTTATAATGCGCATAAACATTTTCAGTACATATCAAACATATTCTTGGATGTTTGGAAATTGTTTCAGAAGAATTAATTATATACATATATAAAATTTCACTTAAGTGTTGTTACATCCTTCATAACAACATACAGGGTTTTTTGAATATATAGGTTCAAACTGGTTTCCTTTGATAATGTCGGAATAAACATTTAATAATTAATGCATTTACATGAAAAAAAAAGAAATAGCAAAAGTGTCAAATTAAATGCAAACGAAAATAATTAAAAGTAACGGAAAAGAGTATAAAATCACAGTTAAAATGACTATTAAAATGACTATTAAAGGATGGACTATTAACTTTGTTATTTACATGTAAAATCAAACTGCATTTCATGTATTTTTCCTTGTAAACATTTAAATTTTCCTAAAGATAATTCTATAAAGGATTTTATATACAGTTAGTAAAATCGTTTATTACTTATGTTTTTTACTTATAATATTCAATTTTGGGGCAATCAGATTTCAATTTTCTTAACAGAAAACTCCGTGATTTTGATTACAATGGTTTCCATTGGCGGACTGCTTGTTCTGTTGAGCATGCGCGTTGCAGCTGGACAGGAGGGTATGTTGATTTTTTATTTATGTGAACATTAAAATGTATCAAGAAATGTATCTTAAAGGTCAATCATGTGTCAGTCAAAAACAAAATGTTGTCTTGCTCCAGAAGCTTGTGTGTGTGCTGTTTTGTGCGTGCGTGCGTGCGTGCGTGTGCGTGCCCGGTTATAGTTTTCCAAAAAAGTCACTCATTTGGTCAATTACTTGAACCATCTTTTCTTCTGTTGCTTATTTTTGGCAATTACGAGAAGTACAGTTATAATGACTAGTATTTCGTATTGAAGTCAAAATAATAGTTTGTCTTTTATGAGAAATAATTTCAAGCTCAATGCTGCCTTTTTCCGATAATAATCAATGTAACTTGCTTTAAAACCATTTTTAGAGGTTAGAAAAATTATTGTTGCCCTGCCTCTGGGGCATAATGTGCCTTAAATCTTTATTATACAATGTATTACAATAGCAATCTTTCATATGTCTATGAGCATGCAACGTTATCTAAAAGGTACGCAGACCGATACGAAAAAATAAAACAACAACACAAAAAACATTTCGAAAACTGCAATCAGCCAATCCCCAAATAAATGTCGAAAACTGCAACCAGCCCATTACAGCTGTATGAAACATACATCCGGGCCATTTATATAAAAAAGAGAAACAAAACAAAATCTTATATATTCTAAATTAAACAAAACAAAAAGAAGAACGAATCATTACTCTTTACGTAATTTATTTTGTTTTCGTAAATGTTATTTCAAAAGAGAAATTTACAATAAATCTTTAAACTAATACAAATTTAAAGAAGATGCATATCTTTCGCAGATGGATGGATTATGAACATAACAAGTAACATATACGGGTTTCCATGGATACCGGCGGATAAGTTGTCAGACAGAAACTCTCCAAGATTCAAGGAGGCACAAAACTTCTTTTGCGGAAAAGTAATATCTACATGCATATTCTTGTAAATGATTTGTTATTGGTATCAAACGCACTCGGGTCCTTATTTTTATGCTCCCCGAAAAATTTCGGGGGAGCATATAGTCGCCGCCTTGTCCGTCCGTCTTTCCGTCCGTCTTTCCGTCCGTCCGCACTCACAGGAGAGTAATTATGTGGCTAGAGGGACAATAGGTAACTGTTCTTTCTCTTTCATGTCATTCATTCCGTAATGCTTTTATGTGGCTTTTTCTTTTGTGTGGCTAAAAAGAACAATAGAGAGAACAATAGAGTAGCCACATAATTACTCTCCTGTTAGAAAATCCGTCCGTCCGTCCCATTTTCTTGTCCGGGACATAACTTTGAAACAACAAGAGGTATCAACATGAAACTTTGTAGGTAGATAGATCTCAATGAGTAGGTGTGCATTGCACAAGAACCGTAACTCTGCCTTGCCTAATTTTTGAATTATTCCCCTTTGTTTATTTGACACTTTGAACTTTGTCCGGGACATAACTCTAAAACTATAATAGGTATAAACATGAAACCTTGTAGGTAGATAGATCTCATTAAGTAGGTGTGCAGTGAACAAGAACCGTAACTCTGCCTTGCCTATTTTTTGAATTATCTCCATTTGTTTATTTTACACTTTGAACTTTGTCCGGGACATAACTCTTAAACTATAATAGGTATCAACATGAAACTTTGTAGGTAGATAGATCTCATTGAGTAGGTGTGCAGTGAACAAGAACCGTATCAACATGAAACTGTGTAGGTAGGTAGATCTCATTGAGTAGGTGTGCAGTGCACAAGAACCGTAACTCTGCCTTGCCTTATTTTTGAATTATCCCCCTTTGTTTATTTTACACTTTGAACTTTGTCTGGGACATAACTCTAAAACTATAATAGGTATCAACATGAAACTTTGTAATTAAGTATGTGTGCAGTGCACAAGAACCGTAACTCTGCCTTGCCTAATTTTTTAATTATCCCCCTTTGTTTATTTTCACACTTTGAACTTTGTCCAGGACATAACTCTAAAACTATAATCATGAAACTTTGTAGGTAGATAGATCTCATTAAGTAGGTTTGCAGTGCACAAGAACTGTAACACTGTCTTGCCTACTTTTGGAGTTATTGCCCTTTGTTCATTTTGACACTTTGAGCTTTGTCAGGGACATTACTCTAAAATTATAAGAGATATCAACATGAAACTTTGTAGATAGATAGGTCTCATTGGGTGGAAGTGCAGTGCTTAAGAATCATTACTCTGCCTTGCCTTATTTTGAAGGTATTGCCCTTTGTTTATTTTTACTTTTTGACTTTTGTCCGGGACATAACTTTAAAACTATTAGAGATATCAACATGAAACTTTGTAGATAGCTAGATATAATTGGATAGAACTGCAATGCTTAAAGAACCTAAACAAAGCCTGGTCTAATTTTGGAATTATTGCCCTTTGTTCATTTTTACACTTTGAATTTTACCCGGGACATAACTCTGATATCATCAGGAAACTTTATAGATAGGTAGATCTCATTGAATAGAAGTGCAGTGCAATAAAACATAACTCCGCCTTGCCTAATTTTGGAGTTTTTGCCCTTTGTTCATTTTTTTATACTTTCCTGTGTCCAGAACCTTCTCGGGGAGCATCACCCGGTTCAACCGGTTCTTGTTTTATCATTTTCTGTGTCGCCTTTCATCTAAACCGAATTCATTTGATTGTGTCTAGTCGCGTGGCGTATCGTCGCAATCAGAGAAAGAAAAAAAATGCATTTGTGTAGTGTATCGTTGCATGCGAACAATAAGACAAATTTACTTGTTTTCGCCTTATCACCAAATGTATCGTCGCTAGCAATAAGAGACAACAAGCCAAATACTACGGTGTTCCGTTTGGACAATCGTGATTTTTATTAGTCTTTACCCGCGATGCACGATGGCACGATGGTGAAACGCGATGGTGCGATGGTGAAAACACGGTGACGCGATGGTACGATGGTGAAAAAATAGATGGTACGATGGTGTAAACGCGATGTTTCATCGCGATAGCACGATGTTGAAAACGTGATTTCACCATTGTACCATTGCGTTTTTATCATCGTATCATCGTGTTTTCACCATCGTACCATCGCGTTTTCACCATCGTACCATCGTGCATCGCTGGTACAGACTAAATACAAAATCACGATTGTCCAAAACGGAACACCGTAAAATACATTTGTTTTCACCTTGATTGCCAAATCAAATACACTTGTTTTTTTCTGGCCGTGCATCGTATTGTGGCAAGAGAAAAAAAGGCCGCAAGCCAAATAATTTTATTATTTACTATGTTGCGTGACGTAGTGTCGCAAGCGGAGAAGCCATATTCACTTGATTTCATTTTGTTGCACGAATTTGTCTTGTTGTCACCAAAGACCGACACAAAAAAGTGATAAAATAAGCTACCATATAATTACCATTTAATGCCAAAAACGTTGTCTTGGTCATTATTCATAAATTGTTTTTAAGCAGATATCTTATATGTTTCTTCTCGTCTATTAATCATTAAAAGCTAATATGTGAAATTTCATGTTTTAATTTTTTTTTCAAAAAAAAGAAGAAAAAAGCAATAAAACATTATATGATTTATTACATTTTCTCTAAGAAAGTTTGTCATCCCTAATTGCTACTGATGTCAAAATTACTTTTACCAATTCCCTATTACAATATGCCATCGTTTGACACTTTCCGAGCGCATAAACCAACTTTAAGTATGTCAAATATTTAACGGAAAGGGAAAAAAGTAATCGGTGTATATACGAATGTGACGAGTGAATTTTACAGGTTATATGACCATATATGAGATCATTTTTAATCTGACATTTGTTGTTTTTTGTTTGTTTGTTTCTTTGTTTTTTTGTTGTTTTTTTTTGTTTTTTTATTTGCAGATAAACGAAATGTTTCAGTCAGAGCCTGTTGTGGGGAATGCTGTAAAGGAAAGATATTATCGGTGTTTTATTTGTAATTTCAAGTAAGTGTTGTGCAGACCAAACGCTCGGCAAACTTCATCAAGTTCATTTTGAAAGCTCTTAAAAGACAAGGTTTATTGATTGCCCCTGACCATATAGACGTTTATTTCATGCAAGAACAACGCTGTTATTTATCATGATCATGATGATGATGATGATGATAAAGAATGTGATGATGAGATCTTGATGATTATGATGGACGTGATGATGAGTTCAGTAATAATGGTGATCATAGTGATGATGACTTTAATGGTGATTGATGAGATGAGTTCGGGGTGATGATAATGATGATGATAATGATGATGATCATGATGATGATGATGATGATGGTAGTGATGATTATGATGATAATGATGATGATTATGATGATGATGATGATGATGATAATTGAAAATTGCTAATAATAATAATTTTGATGATAATGGTGATTGAGGAGGTGAAAAACATTTTAATGTAACTAGAATAAAGGTGTGATCATCATGATGATGTCAAGTGATGATGAAGGTGATACTGGTGATTATTATTATTATTATTTTGATGATGATGGACATGGTGAGTTTAATAATGGCAAAGTTAATGACGATAGAGGCGACAATTGTTATTACTCTGATGTTATCATAGTAATGTTGATTCAAGTTGACGACGTTGTTCAAATGTGCCAACTTCATGACGGGTAGCTTTATCCGTCGAAGCTGTTCATCATTTTTGATGTCAATGCATGTTGTTGGCGAATAAAACTCCCGGGAGCTTTATTTGTGTGTACTTCACGAATATAGCCCTTGCGAATATAGCCCTTACGGTTTATGCATACTTATATTATCTAATAATGCATAATTATATGAATCTACAATTTATGTAAAACCATACATGTATATCCCACATATGTTTCTGCATTTATCCACAGGCAAACAAATCTACATTTCGAAGCCCCTGTATCATTCACGTACTCTCTCGTTTTCAATGGCTCAGACCCAGTGCCGAAGGCTGTCGTGGATGGACTGATAGCCAGCAACACGGAGATCTACCATTTTGGGAACAAAGTGTGGAATCTGATCGGTGATTGGTTAGTTAACCGTGTTGACGTCACGATGGTGAGCGTTAATATGTCAGATTATATAAAACAAGAGAAGCAAGTGAAGCAGAATCCTAACATAGGTAATGTCTTAACTTTCTGCATTGTTATCTAAAATCGTAACTAATATAAAATGCATTTTTGAATATTCGGTTTACCATATTCCATTATATTCGAATATTCGAATTTTGAATATTCTATTTTTTTGAAAATTCGATTAGTCTTCGTACTTTGATATCCGAAGAATATAATATTTAATTAAGATGTGAGGAAACAGGTGAGAATTATCAGGAAAGTGATTAGACATGGCTTTCGTCGGATAGCTACATGACTTTTTTGATAACATATTAATTCATGTAGGGATTTTTTTTACATATTTCCTGAGGATGATATTTTAACTATTACCCACAGACCTTTGTGTTATAGTTTGTCTGTAACAGGCGTGTGCAGAAACCGTATCATGAGACTGGTAGGCAAGAGCCGGTTTAAACATGTTAATTTGTTTAAAAAAAGACATAAACTCGTCAATCATTTTACAATTTTCACGCATTTATGAATAATCATGATATGAGCCGCGTCACGACAAAACCAACATTATGGGTTAGCGACAAGCATGGATCCTGATCAGACTGCGCGGATGCGCAGGCTGGTCTGGATTCATGCTGGTCGCAAACGCATTACGTTGGTTTTGTCGTGACGCGGCTCATAAAGAGGAAAAGAATGACGAGTATTATATACGTATATCTCACGTTGATGTCATGTGTTATCAAAGTTTGATCTCTCTCTGAAGAGATTTCATCTCTGTCAAACTTTCTGATCTTTATGCCAAAACAGTAATCTCTACGGTTGAAATGACTGCAATATGATAGAAATTCCGGTCTGTACCGGCAGTCGGTGTGAGATTCATATAGAATGTGACAAGCCGTATTTCAACATTGAACAAGTAGTGATATGTTTAGTCAAATGATCACTAGTCCTCTACGGATAACAGGTAATATGTTTGACCAAACAGTTATGTTTAAGAACAAATATTGATACTTTTGCCTGATGGTATTGAATGCATTTTGATCATGTTGATAAAAAGTAACCTCTATAAACAAATGGTGACCTCATTGGTTTAGGACTGACCTCCATAAAGATGAGTCGATAATGGTTAGTACAGAGTCAGTGTTGAAGGAAGAATAACATTTTCATATTTTTTTATTTATTTATTTTTTTTTTTTTTATTTATCTTTTTATAATTTTATTTTTCAAAATTGAAAACGATAATTTTTTCCAAAATGATACATTTTCCGATTTGTTACAGCTTTTGATATTTATTAATCAGTAGGAATTTTTTACTTTTTCTGAGGAATGATAATAACTCTTTCCAATTTGTTATTGGTAAGGTTTCGGAAGCGAAATTTAGGAAAAGGTCTTACATGTTATTTGCAATTAACCCAAACCTACTAATATATGTTTGGTATGGAAAACCCAAAAGACACAAAGTTTAAAAAAATACCTTTATCAGTAATAAAATATTTCTTGAAAATTTTCCCCTTCCTTTTTTGTCCCCACGGGATTTATAAATTAATTCAATTAAAACATTTATTGTACTTTCAGGGCATTAATTGTTAGTTATAATGGGGATTAAAGATAATTTTTATTCACCTTTTTTACAGTTAAAAAAAAATTATTTGCCCGAAAACACAACCAAAGACCTTTAAAACCATTAAAATAGAGATATAGCAAGGCAATAAATCAGATTCAGTGTCGTTTTTTTAGGGTTGTCATTGCGAAAAATCTTTGTTAAAGGTTTGAAGGGATTTTTTAAAAATTTGAAAAAAATTTTTTTAAAAATTCGCCCAAAAAACTTTTAATTTTGACAAAAATATTGTCTTTTCCCTCAAAAAGTAATGGAATGTACTGTTATTGGTCAATATTGGTAAATCATGATTAACTTCTCAAAATCAAGTAAGGTACGGGAGATTTTTGAATCTGCACCATCCCCAAGTTTTTCTGGTTTTTTTTTAAAAATAACCCCAAGCCTATTTTTAACCTTAAAAAATTTAAAAACTTTAAAATAAAAATTGGAAAAACAACCAACTACTTATTGTAATTATGATATATTTTCATCAAACAAATTGAATATCAAGTTTGAACATTACAAATGTATTTGGTTAAAACTTAATTTTACAATAGCTCATCTTAACCATTGTTCAGCCCGCTGCTCCTATTGAACTGGCCAGTGCTGATGATGGTTGTTGGACACAAGCAGGGTTCGGGACCAAACAACCCCCGAGAGGAAAACAATGCAGCAAGTTTATTTATAAGAACAGAACAGAACATTAATTTTATTTTGGCTTATACATAGTACATAATCATACATAGTGTGATAAAACATTGATAGAAATGCATAAACAATACATTTTCAATACTAATTGAAAATAATTAATACTAATACTAATACTAATAAATACTAATACTAAATATAAGCATGCCTTCTTTTGCAAGTACGTGTATTTTGAAAGACCATGCGTTGAAATTGTATATTTCCTTTTTATTTTAGGACATCTCTCAGGCTGTGCATGGAAGTTTCCCTTCCCACAAGGCTGCGATGTCACGTCCATTGTGTTAAGTGTGAAATATATATTTGTATTTTTTCAATTTAAGATAGGAAAATATACGTGTACATTACAGTGAAATACCATATGTAATATTTTCATGTCTGGCGTAAGTTGTTTTATGAGTGAAGTGGTTGATGCTTTTTGATGTTTCAATAATTATAACTTTCGTGCACGTATTTAAAGCAGCATGCCTTCAAATTCATGTTGATGTTGTTTTCTTTCATGAACACTTTAAAAGTGTACTTTAGAGTGAAATAATATGAAATAAACAAGAAACATAATTTACTAATTGCAACCGGCGCTTACGATCGCGTAATTTCCCAAAATGAGGTCAAAAATATTAAAAAAAATAGTCCTTACTGAACTGCGTTATTATAGGCACGAGTTACTTACGGCAGTAGAAATATGGTAATAATTTTCTGCAAAATCATTGAATCTTTTTACTTTTCTTCAAAAGTTAAATTTTTGTATCACGTACATTTGTAAACATAATCAGCTCTAAATTTATAATGGTCTTAAAAGGTAGTGTTTTATTTTCAGTGGCGTCTTTCTACAATTATATCTTAATAATTATGCTGTTTTACAACTCACTTTGTTAATATTACTTAATGCTAAAATAATTGTTACTATTATACCAATAAACAGAAATAATTCAGTGGCAGGAAGGATTATCATGAACTATAAACCTAACATTTGGATGGGATTCGTGAAGTTATCTACCCACACATGATTGCATTCTTTGATCATTAGAGAACGCCCCGAGACAAGTCGTTAACAATGAAATTGTTATCTCTATTGGTAATGTTCAGATCCTAGAACGATCCTTCATGAAAGCTTGCAAAACAGAGCCGTTCAAGACACACGAGATCGACCTGAAAGTAAGAAAAAAAACATAAGAGCCGCGTCACGACAAACCAACATAATGGGTTTTTGCGACCAGCATGGATCCAACAGCCTGCGCATCCTCGCAGTCTGATCAGGATCCATGCTGTTTGCTAACAGACCCTATAACAAGTAAAGAAACTGATAGCGAACAGCATGAATCCTGATCAGACTTCGCGGATGCGCAGGCTTGTCTGGATCCATGCTGGTCGCAAACCCATTATGTTGGTTTTGTCATGACGCGGCTCATAATGAAGCAATACATAATAAAAACTAATCATGTGTTCTTATTAATTTTAACAAATATAAAAAAGCTTAATTGCGAAACAAGTTCTTGAAATTTATATGAATCATTGTCTAGTTGTATCCTGGAACCAACCAGTTCTTGTTGTTTATAGGGGTAACATGGGTCTATGATCCGAATAACCAACCCATAACTGGTTTATAGGCATGAATTAACCACTGGTTTTTCCGGTTCGCTTATTATTTTCCTTTAGACAACCAAGTGTTATTTGAAATGGTTTTTGATTTTATAAATTGGAAAAATTACTTGGGTTTTTTAAAGTTTTTTTATTGGGAAAAAAATACTTGGGGTTTATTTTTAAAATGTATTTTTTTGGATTTGGAAAAAATTCTTGGGGTTATTTTTTTAAATTTATTTTTTATTGGAAAAAAAGTTTGGTTGTATTTTTTTGGGAACATCGATTTTCCTGGCCCAACCATTTTCGGTTTTTATAACACCAGTTTTATCCTGGGGCCAAAACCAAAAAAACTTTTTTTTATTTAATATTTAAAAAACGTTAAGGTTTTTTTTAACAAAAAGTAATTGTTATTTAGAAAACCTTTTCGGGCAGATTTAGGCTTTTTAAAAAAAATAACCTTTTTTTTCAACAAATTAAAAAACAACTTGGAAAAAATTTTAAAATTTTTTTTCTTTTAAAAAAAACAAACAAGTTGAAATTTTAAAAAAAAAATTATTTTTTTATTTTTGAAAAAAATTCGAAATTTTTCTTTAAAGTATAAATTTTTGTTTTTTTTTTATTGAAAAAAAAATGAAAAAAAAAAGAATATTTTTCTTTTACAGATAACCCATGTTTTCCGGACAAGAACAATGTTATATTGCCGGACATGACCAATCCATCAGGTTACATCTCCTGTAACCATGGAAATGAATTAAGATTCACGTGCGACCAGAATATGGCATTTGACCCGAAGACCAGTAAATGTGTGAAAAGCGCAACAGTTTTGGCATAAACATTTTTGACTGTAAACATAGTTAGATCCACAAAATGAAAATCTGAGGTTCGGAGCCATTAGCAAGAAAACCTTACAAAAGTTTGGACATCCAGGTTTCTATACAGAATGTTTCAGCATACTTACAAAAACATATTAAAAGTTTCAATTCTTTTTTAAATATGATAGGAAACCTTGGGAAAATTTTGTATGTAAACGATCGTTCGGATGAGCTACCCAAATATCTAAACAATACATATACATGTACTGAGCTAAGTAGATTAAAAAGGGTATTTTGCTTAATTTTGAAGGATTATTTCTGTTGCTAAAAATCGATTATTTTGTATTATTCTCATATTTTAGAGACATGAAAATAAAAATATGTTACGCAGAATCACTTAATTTGGCTTCTATATTTTTGTTAGTCAGCATGAGTTGTACACCTGGGTTTTTCACAGTATTTGTAGAGTTATACACCTTGATTTACTTCAACATGTATTGTGTGTAGCCCAAAAGGTATTTGACCCAGAATCTTGAAACTTAACAGAAATGTTGGCCAGCGTGTGAAGTTGTGTACCTGGGAGTTTGCATGTGGACTAACTTAGTTTTGTCAGATTATTGCCCTTGAATTTCAATTTTCAACTTGTGTCGCCAGTAGCGCACACGATGTTTAACTTACATTCATGAATTGTTACACTATTAAGCACTATTAAGTGTTGAGAATTGAGTACCGCTAAAGCCGGTGCTAGGGGGCGTGAGGGATGTTGCACGTATTCATTATCACCTCATGTACAGACTCAATCAAACCGAGTCTGCAATTCTCTTGTAATTTTGTTGTGATTAATGCTTACGAGGGATCACTTGTTTCCAGAATTTTTTACAGAAATATTGGTCAGCAATAGTTATTGTCCACCATATTTAATAACGAAATTCGTAACTCAAGTCTTAAATAAACACGACACCTTTTGAGGTGAAGAAACTATAGATGAGTGCAAAATACTTGATAAGTGATTTACTTTATTCATTATTTATGGATTTAAACCACTTCCTGTCGTCAAGAACGCGTATATTAGTATTTGGCAAGTACGTGACTCATGTGAAGAAAATGAATATTTTCCTGTCTACTTATTTTAATAGTTATTTCGTCGTTGCATTCACTATATAACAAAATAAACTAAATACTATTTAAAGAAATGATTCAAACGTTACGCTACATTTTCTCTACATGTTTTGTTAAGAGCTCGCGCATTCATTGAATAGCAAAATTTATTCATTAATAAAAAGACACACACAAAAAATAACGACCTGTCATGCATGACGACCTTAGAATATGGCCAATGGACCTTTCCTGTGTTTACAGTTTTATGTAAATTGGCTAACTTGTTATCCAATCGCTACACTGAGATAATACATAGTCACTGGTTGACCTGGTTTGCACAAAAGAACACGTGCTTATGTTTGTGATACTGTTTGTGAGCAGTTGACCTAGCAATGAATGGAAAAGGTGTGGCTAAATGTTCCGCCTACGAAAATCTGGAAAGATCCATAGTGATATCGGATGTCAAGTCACTTATGTTGACAGTACATTGTTAAATGGTATTTCATATTGTTAAAATTGCATGAAATAAATTACTCTAAGGTTGGATATAAAAGGACACCTAAAATATGTAAATAAATATACGATACAACGTTAGTGTGAAAGATCAATTTACATTTTTGGGATTAGCATATCAGTGCAGTTAGGTATTATTAAAACCACTCAAGTAAAACATTTCTGAATTGATTGGTGACTGTAGTAAAATCATAAATTGATAAACGAAGTTCAGTCGTGTATGGTTAACGAGTGAAGAATATATAAACACCAAAATATAGATGTAAAATAAAAGTCAGAAATCTTGAAAAGGGCAGCAAATGAACAAGTGCGCTAAACACTTAGTATATAACAATATACATTAAAGATGGAAGGAGTTGCGACGTTATTATTGACTGTTCTTGTTTCGATATAGTTATGGAAAATAGTTCGATGGATGAAGGAAGACCTTTCAAATATTCCTGGTCCGAAAGGAATACCATTCTTAGGATCAGTGTTGTCAATAAATCCTGCGAAAATGCATCTCAGTTTTTGCGAGTGGGCACTTAAATATGGAAGGATTTTTAAGGTTAAAATATTCGGTAACACTGTAGTTGTTTTGAATGATTTCGATTTAGTAAGAAAAGTTTTCGCGGATAAAGAACAGATAGAGGTTTTTAATGATCGGCCAGAGATGTTTGTCGGAAAGTTTGCCTTATACGAGACATCGGATGTCATTCTGTATTTGGATAATAATAAGAAATTCATGATGCTGAAACGGATTCTTCAAAAATGTCTAAAACGTCAAAGTCAAACATACAGTTTTCGTCTTAGTTTTGAAAAAGAACTAGAAAGACTAAAAGATCATCTCAATCATCTGGATGGAAAAGAAATTGAAATTAATCCCTTGATTCGACATTCATTAGCAAATGTTATTTCAATTTTGATGTCAGGGGAAGGTTTGACAAATGAAGAGAGCAAGCGTATATGGGAATTTAACGACAACGTTTTATACTTACTAGAAACTTCAGTTAATCTTATACTTTCAACTTTCCCTTTCATGAGATTTCTTCCCGGAAGGCTTGGAACTGTTTTCAGCGAAATGATGTCATCAAGAGATTGGGTAATTGACAAGTATTTTGAGCAATGTAAACTAAACTGTAAATTAAACAGTGAAAAGGGTCTCGTATATGCCTTACTAGCAGAACAAGAAAACATTAACAATGAGCAAGGAGTCGAAGTGATCACTGACGAAAACATTAAAGGAATTATTCTAGATTTAGTTGTTGCTGCAATGAAGACGACGAACTCAGCTGTTGCTGCATGTTTCCTACTTTTATTAAAACACCCTAAACATGTTGCTACGATACAAAATGAAATTGACGAAATTGTTGGCCAAGATCGTGTACCCGACGAAGAAGACCAATCCAATATGCCTTTTTGCAGAGCGTTTATTTACGAAGTGTTAAGATACATCTCCCATGGCACTCTTGGTCTTCCACATCTAGCTACAACAGATTATAAGTTGGAAGGTTACACCTTCAGTAAAAATGATATAATCCTATCAAACATATGGTTTATACACCATGATCCAGAGTTCTGGGACAAACCCTGGGAATTCCACCCGCAAAGATTTTTAGATGAAACTGGCAATCTTGTTCCTGCTGACCATGATAACATGAGAAGAATTGCCACATTCTCTGTTGGGCGGCGGGTGTGTATTGGCAAGGACATTGCTTTAACTAGGATTTTTCTTTACATGACGAGCATTCTTCAACAATTTTCTCCACTGCCGTCAGAGAAAAGTTGTTTACCTGATGCCGATCCTCACCAATATAATCCGGGTCTTGTTCTTGAGCCAAACTATTTTTCATGCAGGCTTATCAAGAGAAAATGAAATCTGGCGGAAATAAACCTTGCAATATTCGCTCAAAGCTATTAAGCGGAAAATAATAATAAATAAAGAATGATAGGTTTACAATGAGAGAAAAATATATACAATGTATTTTCGAATGATTGTCGTACTTGATTAAGCTTCGTTTAATTATAATGATGTGCAGAAAGGTTATATAGCTGCTAGTAAGATTTTTTTTACGGAAATTCCGTAATATATCTACTGTTTTTATAAACAATATATAAATCGGCGAACTCGTTTATAAAACTAGTAAATGATTTGATATGGAATGTATCGTCAGCATCTTTATAATATTTGAGCCGCGTCACGACAAAACCAACATAGTGGGTTTGCGACCAGCATGGATCCAGACCAGCCTGCGCATCCGCGCAGTCTGATCAGGATCCATGCTGTTCGCTTACAAACCCTATAACAAGTAGAGAAACTGATAGCGAACAACATGGATCCTGATCAGACTGCACGGATGCGCAGGCTGGTCTGGATCCATGCTGGTCGCTAAACCATTATGTTGGTTTTGTCGTGACGCGGCTCATTTATATGTTTTTAAACATTTAACTGTACAATACGAGAATATATCTGGACGAGTTCAAAGCTGGAGAAACAATATCAGACGAGTCCAAATATATTTCAGTATTGTACTTGTTTAATAAAAAAATACCTTGTTTATTCTATATCCAAATTAAAGAAAATGCGGCTTGATTTTGTTATGGTTTGAAATTGCAAAAGACGGTTGCAACTCTTAACAGTAAAACTGGAACGAATTATTTTGTCGGTAACGGCGTTGACGTTACATTGAAAATGCCAGAGTGGTATTGGAGAACCACAACAAATACAGTATTCCGGTAGGCCTATATACCGGGCAAGGCGCTTGAATGATATTAATGCTGTTTAAACGTCTACTTCATTTCTTCACACCAGTTTATGTACGATAGTGAATGAAAAATATAAGAATCGGCAAAAAAACCAAAAAAAAACAAAAAAAAACAACATTTGTCTATTGTGTGATCATGATTTCTGCAAGCTAGAGGTAGTGCTGCAACACCTGTATTGAGTTAAACGCATGAAATTTTAACTGTGTAATATTTGATAACGATATGAGACGCTACATAATCCCAAATGGAAATACAGGATGGGTCACGTGGTACAATTTAAGGTGTAAATAATTGATATGGAATGATTAATGTATTATTATGATATCATCATCATGATTCATTTAGATAATAAATATTATCACCTGGATTATCATTTTGAAAAGACAGTTTCCGACTTTTAAATATTTACCTCTCTCGCTAAAAGTGACAGCCATTGTGGGGTTCAATTTTTGATATAATATAATTGACAAAGTTTTAAAGATTTAAAGCTATTATTATTTGGGTTTTTATGTCTGTGGCGGAAAATATTAATAAAGCATCGCTAACTTAACGCTTCATCACAGCTAACATGAATAGCATAACAAAATAATTGGTTTTCTCATCATATCTCAGGCATAAATTACAGTTGGATTGATCCTCCAAATACCGACCAGGGGAGGTACAATGTTACATTGTATATAAAAACACCAGTACTATATGTAGCGCTTGAATAAGATCACTTAAAGCGGGTTCTTTCAATATTGAATTTAGTCGGCGGTAAAACTTTTTCAAGCTTCTCTGGTACTTTGATCGACAAAGACTAATATAAATTGAATAATATCTTATTCCAGTGTTTCAAGCAAATAATTCATTTCCTTTTCTGTCTGTAATTATGAAATATTCACAAACTTAACAAGGTTACCGTCCATTCTTTGTCATATTCGGAATTTATTAAATTAACTTGTAAGTAACTATGCATATCTCCACATTCGTGTATTTCATTGCACATGTCTAATACTTTTTTCGGATATACCGATCAACGATATGTAACAGGAGCCAGGACTGTTTGGCTTAAATACCCAGGTTCGATCTATATTTTATAGTGTGTGCTTATTTTGGAAAGAGACAACTAAATGTAATAACTTTACACTCACAATTTTATTATAAGCAGACAAGCTGTATGAAATACATTACTGAATATAATACCATATTTCATATAATTCTGAAATAAACCCTGAATATAATTTGTAAGAATTAAATAAATGTTCCTCTAAGAGCCAAAATGAAACCTAAAATCTAAATTAAAAAAAGAAATAGAAAAATTTAGAGAGAGAAAGATGGTTCAGTTCTAAGGCCTATGAAATAGGTAACACTTTACCTTCAGCTCGGCGACCAAAGCACTGAACGCTGGGCATAGGCTGGGAGCCTATTTATGCCAGGGATTTCCCGCCAAAAATTGAGGGACGTTACCAAAATAAACATAAAATCAAGTACTGTCATTAGACTGCATATATAAAACTATAGTGAAACTAATTGTACACATAGTTCATGTTATTATTTAACAACCCTCTGGAAGGAAAAACAAGAAGCATGAAAATCTCATGCTGCAAGTACAAGTACGCTATACTGTAATTTAAAGGTGTATAACCATACACTGATAATGTAAGGAAACTGCCTAAAAAGAATGATTTCAGGTCCTTATAAACATGTAGTTTAAGGATAAATACTCTATAAAATTGGAATATATGAAAAGCCAGAGTTATAACTGCGTTACTGAAACGTATTAAAGAAATTAACTTATACATACATGTATAAACATCTAATGTACTTCATATAAAATCAAGGTGTATACCTTTAATTAACCCTCACTAGGTGTACTGAAGAAAAGTAGTTCAAAATAGGCCATACCAACATAATTATATGGTTATATAGATAGTATGAAATGAACAATATACTATAGAAAATATCGCTCCTGCTACAGATAAGACAAAACTATTTTTGTAAATCATAGAAATAAATGTTATAGAGTAAACGACAACAGAAATCTATAAACAAAAAGATTTTTTATTTCTAAGTTTACTATTCAAATATAACTTATATAGGTCACTATTTAAAGTCAAATATAGAACAATAAATAAATTCACTTCAAACTTCACTTGTTTTAACTGGTAGCTCATACATTTCTGTCGGGTAAGCCATTACCTGATGCCAACATCTCCTCTTTGTGATACAAACTATTTGTTGAAAAAAAATATATTGCAAAATAGAATATCAAAATAAAATCAAAGTTTTGCATATTTTAATTGAAATACCTTACTAAGATCTAAACGTATAAACTATGAGCGGTTAGAAGAAAATATAATATGTTCTTTTAATATGATGTTGATTGATTATGATAAAAATCTGCACTGTTCACTATACCGTGAGAATTTATTTTGAAAATTTCTCTTTAAATTATCAATAGTTTCGTCTAGATTGATAGATGAACCAATTACTTTACGATATTAAGCATGGTAAATGTTGGAATTGTTTGATTATAGTTTCATTCCATTTTACCATTACGTATATTGGTGCGGGAAAATATGCCAAACTACATTTTCGTTGTTATTTGCCCTTATGTTTGTTTTAAAGAAGAATAAATTATCTATTAGCATAAAAGACGTATCCATATGTAAGCAAACAAATATAAATGGTTGCCTAGTGGTTAAGGAGTCAGCCTGTCAACCCAGGGATCATTGGTTCGAGCCCTACTCGGATCACGACCATGTTTCTTCATATGATACCAGTACTGGTTGGTTCCAGGAAGCGGACTAGAAAGTGATTAATATAAGTTGCAAGAACATGTTTCGCAATTAGCTAAAATAGATATGAGCCGCGTCACGACAAAACCAACATAATGTGTTTGCGACCAGCATGAATCCAGAACAGCCTGTGCATCCGCGCAGTCTGATCAGGATCCATGCTGTTCGCCTACAGACCCTATAACATGTAAAGAAACTGATAGCGAACAGAATAGATCCTGACCAGACTGCGCGGACGCGCAGGCTGGTCTGGATCCGTGCTGGTCGCAAACCCATCTTATGTTGGTTTTGTCGTGACGCGGCTCATATGTTTAAACTAAACAAAAAAAAAGTAAATAACGCGTGAGAAAATCGAAAACAAAAAAAAGGTAATTACATCGGAGACTCAATTCAAAGATAGGTCTTCTTATGATGTTAATTATTAGAAATTATCGTATCGCTAGCCCTCGAAAAAGTAAAAAAAATATGAAATCACACATTTTTAATGGTTTCTTCACATTAATGCCGTGAGTTTTGTCTGGCTAATTAGTATCATTAATCTAAGTGTAGAAGATATAAAACGTCAGTGTTCCGAAGTGGGGTGGAGGCATAAGAAATGGTATTGCCGCTTTTGGACATACTTCATCGTTTGTTTGTTTGCTTTTTTCATTTGTTTCGATCAACGATTCATTTTCATTCTTTTTTTTGTAGAATTATCTGACAAATATAAAACAAACAGCCTGGATAAAGTAATATTTGCATAAGTGATGTAATAAAAAAAATACTTACTTTGCCATTGTTAGCAGAAATTACACGTTTTTCTGCAGTTTGGTTTCATCCATATAATGTTACTCTGGCACGTTTTGGTACCGTAACGTGCACAATACGGACTAACGTCAACACAATCCTCTAAAATAACACAATAGAAATAACGGTACAGACGGGAAATAGTCGAGGTTAATTATAACACTATTTATTCGTTAACAATTATAAAACTAATGATATTCAAATATATTTTAATCAAAATATATGAAATAAAATTAATTCAAACAAAATTTTAAATTCTGAGACGTAATTTGCTTTGTTAATTATTCTAATTTCGGCCGATCTAATATATGTATTTCAAATGGTAATGCTTTTTATATAATTCAAATTATGATGAATAGTTATCATAAGATGTAAAACTTACTTTTCGATCCACCTAAAATAGAAAAGTAACAAATATTATTAAATTACTCCAGAAATTAATTCATGAAAAAAAAAATGAATTGTTAATTTATTGTGTAGCAATAAAATATAGACCAACAATGGAAAATAACGGTTAAGAACGCAGATTTATCTCCCAACAATATCTTGACTAAATAAAAGCAAACAATCTCACCAAAATCTACACTTATTTGCGTATGGTTGAAACGCAGTAGTTCTAACTTTTCTGTACAATTCCAGCGGACATTTTAACCGATACTTTATGATACTGAAAACTACAAGATGGCCTACTCGCTCACAGGAGAAAATTTGCTAGATAAGGTGCTTAATTCAGTAAAGACATGAATGATGTTCCATTGTTGTTTTTTTTGTTCTTTTCCATGCTGCATTTATGTACATGTATATATGTTAATGATCCTGTAACACATTTTTTTTATGATTTTAAATCATAAATATGATGCCCAAATTAAGATTTATCAATATCATAGGCTCCAAAAAGCATAATTTATAAAGATATTACCGAATTAAACGTTTCATGTAAATAAAGGGAGGTAATTAGAAGTTGATTTTCTATAAAGTTTGAGTCAAATTTTCCAATAAGAAATGAATGCATATATTTTAATGATTACATATAATATACACACATATTTGCAGTACATATTTTAATATTCTTTGATGTTTGAAAATTGTTTTATTAGCATAATTATATACATCTGTATAATTTCACTGAGTGTGGTTAACCACTTTACCCACAACATAATATATATGCCTTCTACAAAATGCTCCATGAGTAATATTTAAGATTTTTGTCGTGCATTAACATCTGGAGGAGCATGAGGTATTCAAATCCTGAGGGATTGATTTGATAAGTTAAGTTCGAGCGCATCGGTTATCTGTATTTCGTATTTATAAAGGAACTATTTGACTGTGCCATGATTTCCACGTGCTACTGCATTATGTTTTAAAACTTGCAAAAAACTGTTTTACATTGCGCCCTGAGACACGCATATTGAAAAAAACGTGCAGGTCATGAGAATCTATCCTTTAATGCATGTTTTCTGCTCTGTTTATGTATGTGTGCGCAGTTTTTATGCAAGAGCAGGTGTTGTGAAATGCAAATAAGAAAAGACAACATCGCTGCAACTTACCAGACCAAAGAGTCTAAAACATGCACGTGTAGAGGAGAGGCATTAGTTTAATTGACTTACCTGTACAAAATTCGCAAGTCTGTCTACAGTTTTTGGACATGTACTTTTCGTTCGATTTACATGTAGCTATATCGTATGTCTCGCAATTAGCATCTTTGTCAAAACATTTTTCTTTTCCTTCACCTGTAAGAGATAAAATATTCTAGAGATATTCATGTAGACCGTGAACCAACCTATCTATATAACTGTACAAGACAAATACTTTTATGTCAAGAGTGGACTCAGTTTCAAAATCGTTTAACTCAAATTTGCGGGTAAGTCGAAGAAATCTTAAAGTCTTTATATAAAAGAATTCGCGAATTAAGTGTTGATTGTATGATATATCTATTGTGTTAACATTAACATTTTTTTTTTATATATTTGCTGAAGTGCATAACTTATCGAAGACTTGCTCTCACGAGATGATAAACGGAACACGAAAACGCGATGACGTAACCTCGTCAAATTCAAGTCGATAATTATCGCGTCTTTGCGTTATCGTCTTCATCCCATCGTGTTTCGTCTTCGTGTTTTCGTCATCGTCTCTTCGTGTTTTCGACTTTTCGTATTTGAAATTTCTTTATGCATAGGCGATGGCTCTAACGGTACGCCGTAAAAACGGATGATTAAGTTATACCTGAACATAAACCGTCCACGCATGTCTGGCCTTCCCAGCACTCTGAGCATGCTGGGCCTGGAATGTAGGGATACTCTGAATTATCATTTCCACTGAAATACAAAATAGTGAAGTTGATTGATAACTGTTGATTCTGGCCTCGTTAAAACAAACATAAAAATATGCAGAGATCAGCTTTGTGGTCAGCAATTTAGTTTTACTTTTTCGATATTCTCAATATATTATTATCGCTTTATTTCAAAATAATGTTCTTCTTTTGTCTTGCTTGGTTTTGTGATTTACTGTGTCAATATTAAATTACATCATCATATGAATAGTATGTGACACTATAACTCAAATGAAGGTTTCAATAGCATAATCATTATACATGTAAAAGGAAAGTTTTCAAAATACACCTTAGCTCGTATGACTAAATGCTGTCAGCGACTGGACTAAATGTTGTCAGGGGCTTGACTAAATGTTGTCAGGGGCTGGACTAAATGTTGTCAAGGACTGCGTTTTTTAAGACTGTACTTTTTAATGAAATTAATACAAAGATCGAACCTATAGAAGCTTTTAAGAAATAACATCTTAACAATCGTGAAATAAATCAAATAAATAAATTGAACTATTTAATTAAAAGATGAATAAATAAATAGACGACGGAAAATTCAAAGTAAATAGAACGAACAAAAAATATTACACTTACTGGGGGTCATACCAGCATCCATATAACAACGCATTCTGAACTTGCTTACCAAATACATACAGACTTGGGCATTTTTTGATGGCACAACCGACTTCACGTGTAGTTGACCAAACAAGCTAACGTAACATTAACAACAAAATAGCATTAAACATACACTCTTTTGACTTAATTAAAGTTAAATCTAATGTTTATTGCTCATAATATTATAGGAAAAAAAATACTGAAATCAACGATTTTTTTACAAAATCACTTTTAATATTCTCTGAGGGAAAATTAAATATAAATTGTAAATATTTATTGACGTGTATAACAGCTAACTGTTGCCATTGAAATAGAAATAGAAATAAAGCCTGGATTACAATTTAAACAATATAAATCATTCTAACTCATTTGATATATTATTTTATCCATAAATGTCACAGTACCTGGGTGTAGTGGCAGCTAACGCCGCACTTCTTTCCGGCGTAGTTGTACTTATTAATTTCATCGTACCAATGATCAAATGCTGTTTGGATATTTCTTTCGATGTCCTCGTCTTGGCTGAATGCCATATTCTCGCCACGACCTTTGTTCTCGTGTTCAAAACGACAGTGACTGATCCATGCATCGGCTTCCTTTGCCAGTGTATCACTCCACGTCTTGAAGTAAAAAACATAGAACAATTAATTGATATAATCATGTGAATATAAACAAAATAAATACATGTATAAGAAACCCTTCAGGGTCTTTTGATTTCTCGTGTTAGGAAGCTAGCTAACGGAACGTCGTTGATTCCACTCATATGTCCGTTCGTGCCCGGAATAATACACAAATGTATACGTATTGTCTGATAAAGCTGGAAAGTCGCTTAATGACCTCTACTGTGTTGGTGTGACATTACGGACGCAACACCTTCCAAAAAGAAATCTAGTTTTGTGAATATTGTAACTGCCTTTAATGTGCATAAAATTATAAGGAAAACGAAAAGGAATTTATAAACGCAATAATAAGATGAATACTTTTGATGCCAAGATACTAAGTATGGGAGCAACACCTTTGGGGAACAACCAAAGTCTTTGTTCCTCCATTGGCATTGCACCGCCAAACATGTACAATATGTAGTTATGTACTGGTCAAATTTATCTAGCATAATTATATAAGGAGGATAGTCTCTTACCAGTTCATTCATCATTTTTGCATTTTGTTTTCTTCTGAGATTGTTATGTCCCTTGATTATCATATCTTTATAATCATTAAGAACCTCCGCATTACAGACATATACACACAACAGCAGACCTATAACGTACATCATTGTCCTCCTATAGATTATAAAAAGTATCGTTATAAAATACATTTTCTATGCAAAACATCAATCATGACTTAAAATGTTCTACCATCATAATTAACCATGTCGTGTACAATTTAGAACAAGAAACAACAAATTACCAGTACAAACCGGACCTTGGAATAGCATCGAACTAAACAGGCGTGTTTGTACATTGTGCGATAGATCTATTGGTGATGAATTCCATTATATTTTTGTGTGTCCGTGTTTTGATAACAGCAGGAAACGGTTTTTTTAAAACCTAACTTTTTAAAGAAACATGATAAACATTATTTTGATCTGCTTATGAACGCTGATGTTAACCTTCCAGATTACCAAAAAAACCTTTATTTATTAAAGATATTACATTAAGATTCAAATGAACCAAAATTTGTATAAATTTATTATTGTGGAGAACTCTATTGACTTTGTTATAATACTGACTCTCCGCAATATTTATGTTAAAACTTTATATATCATGTTATATTGATACTGTCTGATTCTGAAGCCTCATTTATTATGTAATGTATTATTACCTCATATTGTCATGTTTGCATAATTTGAGTAGAATAAATGAATTGAAAATTGAAAAAATGTACAATTGTTGTATCATTTTCTAGCAAAAAATGAGATACATTGAAATTAAAACAACTATTTGAGGCAATGCAATTATATTTCAACCTTTTTACTCAAACGTGAATATCGGTTCCAGTGCTTTGTGAGCTCCTAGTCTTTGCTTTTTATCTAGGTATGTAGGAGCAAATTTATTACAGATCATATATGACACCTGTGTGACAAATATGTCCACATATTGCCTCAGTGTGATCTCATATTATGTCACTACACAAACATAATCTTCACATTTGATATGACGTTTGTATTCGTGTTGAATTTATCACAACAGAGCAGAACAGAAACTTTATTACTTGGTTTAAGCATAAAAAGCTCATCACCATATTAAATATACAAATACAATATATAATACATAAATGACACATGGCATGAATATATATAATTACAAAATAATGGTTTATGTGATGTGAGAATGTTTAATTTGAGATACGAAATTACTTAAAAAGCATATGAATACATGTATATAATACACAAGAATTGGCCTATCTTTACCAAACATTATCAATTTAAGCTACAATACAACTGTAACAAATGAAGGGGGATAACTTAGGTAACTTTATATAACCAGTATGTTAACATTTACTTCCCCTTAATAATTCATGATCAATATTAATAGAATTCATTTCTATATGAAAAATGAATACATTTACTGATTTTGTACGTTTTTTTTATATATATAAAGAAAAGAAAAACCCACACAAAACATACCAATACCCAAAACAACTAACACTTGACTTAATTATAAGGATTAGTTTTGTCAAAACATTTTATCATGGTATTTATATTTGGTTATGTGTTGAAAAACAGATATAGTTAATTTGAGAAGATACAAATATTAATAAATAAATAAAAAAAATATATGTATATAATTATGTACAATTTCATATTCACATATAACTTTACAAATCTACATGATGAATATACAATGCGCATTTAACAGTTACAATGATACTTTTTTCATTTTTTAAACAACAGAAAAAACCGAGAAAGAGAGTAAAGCTTACATGTCAATATATTATAACAAACTATCCCTCAATTTAAAAGCTTTATCACAGAATATAGCTAAATTTTTCAGTTCTTTCTTGCGACCAGTTTGCATTAATGAAATGAATTTAAACATACTTGTGTTGCAATAATAGTATCTTGGAATATATTGCTTTCTTAACTCAGAATATATCGGACATTTAAGGATAAAGTGAAATTCATCTTCTATATCATTCATATAACATAAAGTGCACTTTCGTTCATTCCTTGGTACATTATTATGTCTTCCTAACTCGATATTAAGTTTGTGTGAGGAGAGTCTTATTTTTGCTAAAACATTTCTATATTTTACATTTTCAATATATTTTATATATAACGATTGTTCAAATGTAATCTTATATTCCCTATATACATCTAACAATGATGAAGATTGAATACCATCATTCCAACAACTTATATAAATATCCCGTAATCTATTCCTAAAAATAGGTACAAATAGTTTTATATTAACAGAATCGGGATATAACCAGACTTCATTAAATCCTGCTGACTGAAGAATGTTTTTAACTTTTGAAGCCCAGTTTGTTGAACAATTTACCACATCAACATCATATATCTGTTTACACAATATTGTTCTCAATATACAATTATCTTTTTTACTTGTATTTAACTTAAGAAAATATTTAATCATACGAATATGCCTTTCAATGTAAAGGTGAAATCTCCCCAATTCTGCATATAATGCCAAAATATTTGTCGACTGTTTAACATTTAAAATAAACCTACAACATTTTTTATGTACTCGTTCCAAAACTTCTGCATTCATAAACCCCCATACTTCACAGCCATAATTTAAAATTGATAAAACATAAGCGTCAAAGAGATTAAACATAATGTTAACTGGTACTTTGTAGTCACGTAACAATTGAATTTATCAAGTGGAAGAATCACATTTGTTAACTTTTTTCCTGTAGATAGGTTCAAACCTGGTCAAAGGCAAGGCGTTGTTTCCGTGAGCAAGAAACTTTATACTCATTGCTTAGTACTGGTTGGTTCCAGGAACGGATTCGAGACTGTTTCAATAAGCTTATAGCTTCCAAAACAATCGAACTAAAATGTATTCGTATAAACTAATATCAAGCTTACGGATCAGAATGGATTGAACGACGGACGCCTAACCTGGGATCAGGGATGCGAATCTAAGAAATTCAAATTTCATAAACCTTGGTGTAATATTTTATGCATTTTCGAAACTCCCCACTAAGGGTACACAAGTAAACACAAGTCTCAGATCTGAGAATCCATTTAAATCAAAGTTTCGAGCTTACTGGAATTTTTATTCGTTTTTGATGTACGCTCTTAAATGTTAGAGCTCGTGTCTTTAAACGTCAATTGTCATGTTAACACACTTGTTAGGTTATAATTTTAAGAAATGTTTTCAATTTTCATTTATTTTAAAAAAACCAAAGTCTAGTTAATTGAAAATTATCGACAAACAATCGCTATTCTCGTTTTCTATTGAAAATAATGAAATAAAGTAGTACTTACCAATCTTATGTATATGTTTACCGAAATAACACCTAAGCCTTCTGGAAAATCGGTTTGTTGACAATGGTTTTATATATCAAGACACAGTGCAATTATGGACCAAATTACGCGATTAATGTTTGATTTTACTACACAATTTTCTATGCCAATTTTGCAAATTCCAAAAATTATGCCAATTAAACAATTGACTTTATTATTTGTTTTAGATGATAAAGTTGTGTTCTCATAATTTGTACGTATCAATTATAAGACTTGGAAGCGATAGCTGAACAGCTCAAAGCCAAAATTTGCATAGAACCGGAACAATTATCAAAGATTAAAGAGCATTCCTGAAAAATTGATGTAAACGCAATTGAGTGTGCAGAGTAATTTAAGGTTGTTCCTTACAATAAATGTCACTTCCACTGAGTAAAGTAAAATTACGAGCAATGTTGGCTAATTACCAGCAATGTCATAACGTGTTTTTTTAGAAAAATGTGGAAAAGAATGAAGCCACATTTTTTCTCTTTAAAGTTACGTATTAAATCATTCTTTGTGTGTTTGAGATAAGCTGGAATCTGAACGCCAAAAAGTCATTACTTTTTCCGAGATACATTTCAACAACGTTCTTCAAAATATATAATAAATATAATAAAAATGATTTTTATAATTATGTATTTTAGTTAACATAATGAAACTCACCCTTTGCACAGTTCTTAAATTCTTGTATAACGTTACGTTATGCATTGATTCCACTATGATAAGTGTACATGTTGATGCTTGTGAAGCGCTTAACCCAGTGCTAGGGAGCGTGAAACATGATGAACTTTCTAGTACTATATTTTATGACCAGACTAAATAAACGCGATATTCCGCTTTTCAAGTTCGTATTTGGCAAGTATCTATTCCTAGCTTTCGAGGTATTTCCCCTATTTCAAAGTAAACAAATGGTGATGACTTCCATTCAAGCATGGCATAGTAATTTCTTCTGACAATTTCTTCTTTATTTGATCGCAGTTGCTGATGTGACCTTGTTTGACGATCCAATATTATAGGGGATTGATAATGTAAAAATTATGGTTCAGATTGAGAAATCTTAGGTTAGATTTTAATTACCATACAAATTACCTCACAATTATGACAAAGAATGCTGAGAACAAATGAGAAATGGTTGATCAGGTCAATTTAAAAATAATTGTAAACAGCAATGGCAATCTGATATAAAATAAAAATCAAACACTAATATCTATAAAGGTATGAAACTTGATTTTGGTAGATGAGCTTATATAAAGGTTTTCTCATCTAGACGTGGTTTATCAACACTACATTGTTTTTTTTTACTAGAAATCATAGGCTGGCCATGGAAACTGGAGATGTAAACCTAAGATGGAAAATAAAAGTTTGAACAAACTTAAAGTTTCTGCCGCTACACCACCAATTTCAGCCCGCTATGCAATCAGACCGCCAACCTCTCGTCGCTAAGCCGTCAGGCAAGTAGGTCGCGAAATAGAGCGGTAGGCCGTCAACTTTACGCCGCTAAGCCGCCATGACGGTATGCCGACAACTTTACTCCGCTATGTCGCCATGCCGCTAGGCCGACAAGCCGCCATGCCGCTAGCCTGTCAACTTCCAACTTTTGACAACTTCACATATCTTAAAATGGATCTTTTTCGTGATGTTAAATGTTATTAAGTGATAGACTGATGCTGAACAACATTTTAAAAGTCTAGGACAATTTGATCAAAGCTGGCCAAAAAATATCTACAACATGGTTTGCATTTTATGCCACGCACATTGCACAGGCAAAAATAGAAGTTATAGTTTCCGTGAGAATATATATTTATTTTGTGAAAGTTTTGCTCATGACATTTTAGATAGCAGTTAATTTCTTTTGAAACTGTTTTGTACTGTAAGAAAGATAAAAAGGTGACTCTTTCATGTCTTGCTTTTATCTCTTATGAAAGCAGTCCTGAAGTTAATAAATGAGACAAATGCTGCATTTGCGGTTGTTTAAACTATATATTCCATTGCTTAAAAATAGTGACATAAAAATTGTATAGTCACCAGATTATTTCATGCTGCTTCAATCATAGTTTACACCGGTCCTTTTACGCATTATAAATATATCTCAAAACAGAATTCCCACGACGCAAAAGAACAATAAAGCAAACACGCAAAAAAAAAACAACAAAAAAACGGTAGTCACTAAGCCGAATATTTCTCAAAATATACTACTAATACTGTAGCATTTCAGCCGATCTTTATACAGTTTGATACACTTGAAACAATTGTACATGAAGTAATACCATGGTGATTCTTTGCTGAAAAATGCTTTGCTTGCTAAATGAAAAGGAATTGAAACAAATTGAAGCATGAAACATGAAGGAGGCAATTTGTTTAAGTATTGATATCATTCTTTTTGTTTTCTTTTACAAGTTTTCAAGTTCTACACTACTTTCATTACATTGCACTGTTTCTTTAATGTATCTAATATAGCAATGGTAATATCAACATAAAAGGGTACAATTTTGTTAGAAACCAATTTGAATCGTTTTTGATGATAATGAATAAATAATGTCATAATGTCAAAGTTTGATATCTAGAAAATATTTTCTGTTTTTTTTTTCCGCTTAAGATTAAGTTATCGGTTTCAATAGCATAGTTTGCGTGTTTGCTAGGTGTGGAATAAATATTACAGTGACATTATGCTCATATTTTCATAGTTAAGTTGAGCTGAATTGACATTTTATTTCAAAAGATTGACTATTAAACTAGTGTTTGACCAACAGTTTATTTTGGAAAATGTTTATGATAAAATTTAAAATCTGCCTAAAATATAAAAAGACTGCCCCACTCTTTTTATAACTGAACGTTTCAGGTAAGTTCTAATTAATATTTACAGAAATTCCGTTTCGATCCGATGGTTATTCATTGTTTATATGAATTAATTAATTAAATTAAAAGGAATTGTGGCTATATAAAAACTTATTTTGACTTTCACCTGTTCACTCACTGTATACCCTTGAATGAGCATAATGTCACGTTAAGCAATTGTGTTGCATAATATTCTTTCACAGCATTGCACGCACACACAAAACACAACAGGAAAAAATATTATAAAGTAAGTAATAAATTGGTCATCGTTTAGTACTGGAATACACTTTAATTAAAACGGTACTTAAAAACTTAAAGTATATAAAGTTTTTAAACATCATAGTAACTGCCTTTTTAACTATTATATATAAAAAACACAGTCTCTTTATTTGTTTTGTCCAGTATTTACAACAACTTTAATAAATATTTAGCCATACCTTGGTGTTCGGTGTACTTAACCGGCTGTCCTGGATTACTAACCCCAGTATTCATCGATTTCTTTGTTAAGTGACCGATTCTTTTTTCTCATATGATTTGTAAGAGAAAATTAATGACGATAAGTGTCAATATTTGACAACAAATACTATGGGGAAAAATGGTTTCTCGTCCGAAAATTACAAACAAAATGCTGAAAATGTAGTTTTTATTTTATATATCGTGCTCTCAATATACACGAGAGATCGAAATACGTTTTATCAGGAAATCAGTTTTTAACTGGTGGTATATATTTTGCTATATCTTCGTTTTTTTGCTCGTCTAGGTTAACGTTGAAGAAAAGGTCGCGCTAATAGGATCGCTGCGTCGTCCTCGTCGTCGTATAAATTTTTTTGATGTATCCCATTTCTCAAACAATTTAAAAGATACGAGCATTTCATACATTAATTTAAAGATTGTTTTGACATAAACCATTCATAGAAATGCGAAATGTAGCCTAGGTCATATAATATAGTACAAAGTTAACTTTTAATGTGTGTTTTTTTTGTCACAGTAAGTGTATTAAGTACAGGGTTTCTTTCTGATTATAATCTCTACATGATTGCTTAATTGTGGGTAACGTTGTTTGTTATTTTGAACATATTTCTTTATTATTAAACGTTTTTCCAGAGAGAAAATTAGCTACTGAAATGTCATGTGTTTCACATGAAAAAAATGAATAATGCGCTATAAAGTTACTAATACAACAAATGTTCCTAAAAGTTATCACCACAATATATCACTAACCTTTGGAAGGAATCAAACATATACCGGCACATAATACATAGTACATAATTGTCAATTACATCTAACGGTAATGTACGTAAAATTAATAATTTGGCATAAATTATTAAGAGGAATATTCATGTGTCTTAAACATTACTTTGCTTGAAAACGAATAAGGGATTAACAACTGTTGCAATAGTATTATTATAACAAACTTCAGAAATCCGAAATTTACAAATATATTCTAGATATATCAAGACACAAATGCCGAAATATATATATCTAAATGTCACACAAGAGTTGACAATGAATGTGTGTATATGTTTTATATAATAGTCTTGGCACCGTTTTACACAGATTCAAGCGAAGTCCTTGCCATTCCATATGCGTTTCAAAAGCACACTACAGTTGCTAACTTGTGAAAAGATAAATAATTATTGAATACCCAAATAGAAAAGAGTCAGCTTTCTTTTAGGGCTATCTTATTCAATGAGGAATAAAGACGTCATACGCGTACACATGGTAAACGAAAAAAAATCTTTTTTATCGGTCGTAGAGCATATGGTCCGGTAAACGAGCCGCCTCTTTGCCATCCTTTTCAGGTATTTGCGGGACCGATAATTTTTTTTTATATTAGATACACTAAGCATCGATAATTTATTTGCATTTACAGAGAACTCGGACATTAGGAAGAGACCATTCTACCAGGGTCACCATGGCAACCTATCTTTATTTAAACTTAGTGTTTATGTCAACATTTAATTAGACTCCTTCCATGCAGCTTTTTAGAAAACATAATGTCTGACTGTTTTTTGGTATGAATACTTTTGGTCGTTCCCTTGCATGGTTCGTTAACTTCAGTTTGCTGAACTAGTGATCTTGTATGATAGAAAATATATTGTGAACATTAAGCGTAAGGTAATAGCGATAGTTTGTATATAAATGACCTTTTAAACGATCCAAAAAGCTTCCGAATATGTCATGTTGTTTATAGTTTGTATTGGTAAATTACTTTGAGCATAAATGTAAAACAAGTTGTAGCATTTAAAGTTATTTATTTACCATTAAAACAACGTCAAACATAAATATATAAATGTCCCCTTTGTTCTTTTAGTGATATCATAACATTTTATTTATACTATTTAGTGTAGTTTTCAAATACATAACAAGATGAAATGATAACATCAAACCAAAAAATCTAAAAAATGTGCATAGAAAAAAACTCTTAAAAAACAAGATGCAGCATTTAAAGTTATTTATTTACCATTAAAACAACGTCAAACATAAATATATAAGTGTCCCCTTTGTTCTTTAAGTGATATCATAACATTTTATTTATACTGTTTAAGGTAGATTTCAAAGACATAACAAAATGAAATCATAACATCAAACCACTTTGTTTATGTAAAAAAATCTAAACAATGTGCATAGAAAAATAAATAAACTCTTAACGATGAAAATGAATGTAAAAATAAGGGAAAATTATAAAATAGAAAATGGAAAACGTTTTTTTTTATTATTATTATTCTTGGTTTATGTCACGCATTTTTTTCTCGAAAATTAAGAAAAATAGAATAATTCATTTGATAAATTGATATGTCAACCGTTTAGCCTGTAACTATGCAACATTATTACGCAGAAGGATTAAGGTTGAAGATAAATCTTAAAAAACCAAGAACACATCTTTGCTTTTTACTTAACACACAGGGTTTGATAGTCGAACACTTTTTTGCGACATTTATATTAAAATTGTTTTCGTTGGTAGGAAAAGCAAAACAACAATATAAACATAATAATCGACATTGACTTATAATATAACACTCATCATGGTAAAGTTCAAGATTTGTCGGTGAGGAACAAAGTTTTATTGAAACTTGTGTATTAGTTCTTACTCTTAAGAAAGTAAAAGTAATGGCAACGCAACAATAGAAAGTTATAGACTTCCATATTACAGCTACTTACTAACACGGTTGATATAATTTTTTACAAAAACATGCCAATATTTTGACATTGTTTGGAAATAATGTGTTGGTGAGATTTATATGAGCCGCGTCATGACAAAACCAACATAAGAGGTTTGCGACCAGCATGGATCCAGACCAGCCTGCGCATCCGCGCAGTCTGATCAGGATCCATGCTGTTCGCTTACAGACCCTATAACAAGTAAAGAAACTGATAGCGAACAGCATGGATCCTGATCAAACTGCGCGGGAGTGCAGGCTGGTCTGGATCCATGCTGGTCGCAAACCCATTATGTTGGTTTTGTCGTGACGCGGCTCATATCTTCTCTACACTGGTACATGACTGCAACTATGGTGGGCTAGCTATTTGAAACGTATATTCACTTTTGTCATTTTTATTAAATATAGATTTCTGTTTAATAGTACAATATCAGCTAAAGTTTTATACATATCATTTATCGTTATGATATACATCGTGATAAAATAGTAGAAACTTAATATCCGTGAAACTGTCGGTATATATTTGCATTATCAATGTCATGTAAAAGTGTCGAATGAAGTTATACTTTTATTGTAAATAAGTCAGGCTATATATAATACCGAGACCGTAAATATTTAAGTAGCTCAACAGCTCTCCTGTATACAATGTTGTTCGTCTATAGCTTACGTTTGTTGTTGTTGTTGTTTTGTTGTGTTTTTTTTTCTTAAATAAAGAATACATGTATATATTAAACTGTTTAAAATAAGATTATCAAAGATTTGTCTGGAGGGTGAAAACAATTGATGAAATTTTACAAATTTTTCTCTGCCGAGAAGAATATAAAAGTTATTATTCTTTCATCGAATTAAAATTATTAAGTATCTAAATTGTATTTACTTTGTCATTAACATTTAAAACAGCATGCATCCTGATTAACCATACTATTTCAAGAAAATCTAACTTGAGAAAAATGTACTAAGATTTTAAGAAAAGTGAAAATATTCAAGATTCAGGTAATAATATACATGTGATGTGCATTTGATATATTTATCACCATGTCTTAGGCAGTAAGTGCATTGTTTTGCCTATACGGACCTATTTTTGGTAATATGTTCGTGGATTTTTAGTGTTGTTTGCAATGCGTAAATAATTTCTTTGATAATAATAATACAATTTAAAAGATGTCATGAAAAATACGCATGAATCTGGAAGCATGCTGCTTTAAAGCTTGGTCCCGTTTCAAAAACAGACATTTCTAAAATTGTTATTAATTGTAAATAGCAATTGTTATCGTTTCAAAGCTTTTATGGTTAGGAATGCATCCTAATAAAATAAGTCCTTTCAATTTATAACACATGTTCTATTATAATCGTTTATGTTTTCAACAGTACTGTAGCTATACTTTTTAGGATTGCTATGAAGCTGGAATAATATGTAGAAATAACATTGTCCTAACTTGTCCAAGATGATGATATCTAATCCTCTCTTCTTCTAATCAGTTTGCAAGAGAACGGTACAGGGTCTAGAAAAAGCCCAGGAACAAACCCCCGAGGATCAGCACTGGGAATTGCACAAGACACAGGAGGTAGAAGATCGAATTTCTGAAGAATGTTTGTCAAATATAGGAATATTCTGTTAAGTGCAATATCTTTTCCCGGACAAATTCGTCTCCCAACCGAGAATGTTGCAATTCGCCTCATCTTGGCATGACTGGCTGGTAACAACGTTCCGTCGCTTCCGAGAAACCGTGCAGGGTTGAATTCCCACGGATTCTCCCAGAAATGTGGATCATGATGAATAAACCAAATATTTGATAGTAAAATATCATCTTTTCTGAAGCGATATTGATCTACTTGTATGTCCTTTGTGACTAAATGGGGCAGTCCAAGACTTCCGTTTGAGATATATCTAAACACCTCGTAAATAAAGGCTCTGCAGAATGGCATTTTGGATTGGTCATCTTCTTCCGGAACGCGGTCTCTGCCGATAACTTCGTCAATTTCCTCTTGAATGGTAGAGATATGCTCAGGATGATTCAGAAGAAGCAAAAAGCAAGCACACGTTGCTGAGCTGCTTGACTTCATAGCTGCAGCGATAAAATCAAGGATGATTCCCATTATGTTTTCATCCTTGATCAATGTGTGTCCTTTTTCACCATTGACAGCCCTTTGCCGCTCTAGTAACTCATAGACGAGTCCATGTGTAGTGTTTGCATCTTCATTTGTTTTACATTTTTGAAAATATTCTTCAATTATCTCATTCCTTGAAGTCATCATACCTTTGAATACTGATCCAACTTTACCAGGAATATATCTTGCTATAGGAAAAGTTATAAGAAATAAATTAATCGATGTTTCCAGTAAATAAAATGCATCGTCGTTGAATTTCCATAAACGTTCACATAAATGTTTATCAACACCTTCTCCTGACAGTAAAATGGAAATAAAATTCGCGAAAGAATGACGTAGAATTGGCTTTAACTCAATTTCTTCTCCACATAATTCGTCAATACTCGCGTCTAGCCTTTCCATTTCGGCGTTAAAGGTTTCACGAAAACTACCAGATTGACATTGATGTTTCAGCGACTTTTGTATAATAGCCTTCAAAGTTACAAACTTTTCATTGTTTTCTCTACAAAGAACCACGTCTGAGGTATCAAATACTGCGAACTTCCCAACAAAAGTTTCAGGTCGATCATTAACGAAATCTTTGTTTTCTTTATCCGCAAATACTTTTCGAACGAAATCAAAATCATTCAAAACAACAATAGTGTTTCCACACATTCTGATTTTGAAAATTGTACCGTACTTCAAAGCCCACTTGTAAAAACTATGATGCAACCTCTCTAGATTAACCGAAAATAACGGCCCAAGAAAAGGTACACCTTGTGGACCTGGAATATTTGAAAAGTCATTCTTCATCCACTGTAAAAACTTCCAGGATAACAGTAGAATAATCGTTGCAACGATATACAATGTAAAACTTTCCATAGCTAGGGAAATATGAAATGAAATTTGATATCCTTTCACTGATTTGATTTATCACGGATGGTTTCTTTTAAAACCGAAACAGAAGGTCATTCTCTTCACTTTCAGCATTCATTTTAATGTTTCCTTCTTTAAACCATATAGAAGACGAAAGAAGAACTGCGTTAACTGTGACCTATTATTTTAGATTCATACGCCTACATCAATACACGTATGACATACAATAATTTATCTTTACTCACTCGGATGTTTCATCTTAATTAAACAATGCTGACCATCTTCACAAATCGAAACCCTTCCGACATTTCTAAGCATCTACAATTAACCAGGAAGCACAGAATTTCCGTTTAATAATTTTTCACTGTATCAAATATTGTTTAAATCCGAAAATAAAAATTCATCTTTTCACAATTCTGACGAAGATTTAAACCTGTATGTAACTTTTACCTACTTTTTTAAGAGGAAGGTACTTTATACATAGTTTATCTTAACAACATGTACAATCGTAAACAGGCGTAAGAATTTAGTATGTCAACGGGGTTGTTTAAGATTAATTAGGTACGATACTTAGGGATACTTAGGCAAATAAATGACAACAATATCAAAATTATCTTATGTACTCAAATCATTGTTAAAGTCCCAGCATGAATGTCTATATGAATTCTATATATTTTGGGTTTGAAGCGTAGATATATGTATATATTTTTCACGAAATTTAGACGCCGACAGAATAACAGAGTATTTCTAAAACTAGTCATGTGGCTTGAACAAACCCTGGAAGATACAATAAGAGATATTGTGGGTATTGTATGATTGAAACAAACCCTAATCATTCATTTGACATGTTCTTTAGCGTTTCCAAAGTTTATTATGACAACTATTGCGAAATATTAACGCTCTAACCTGACCCACGAGGGTCAAATTAAAAACCACCATTTATTATTTTTAGGGTGAACAATTTTGTTTGAGGACATAATGAATAATGAATGAAATATCAAATCAAAGAAATGAAAATTTTGCCTGTGTCTCCCTTTAAACAAGTGGTCATATCTTTTTGTTTAACAAAACTATTCTATTTTATTTTTTAACAATTGATTTGAATATTTTAAAAACAGAATTAATTTTCCATACTCTTTTCGTTGGTGTTTATTTCAAATCTTAAAACAAGTCATTTACAGTTCGTTTCGTTTTGTTAAGGATTTGAATTGCTCGAAAGTTTGACCTAACCTTTCGTGAGATATATCATAAAACATTTCGGTCAAACATTGTTTATTATTTCTAATCTTGTATCAGTGTTAAATTTCTAAAATCTGCTCATTTTATAAATCTATGATAATGGTATACCTATCTATACAAAACGCTGAAAGCGTGTAAATAAAGATCTATATGTTCATAACTTAAAAGTTTAGGCGAAAAATATTTGTGTAAAATTTTATGATACCCTTGCATTGTTGTTTACTTAATATCCTGTTCTAAATGGTTTTAACGTTTATGACTGCTTAAATAAAATTCACACACGTTCTAAAGAACAGAATTGATTTGTTGGATGAATAAAACTAGCCAGTCATATAAATGACGGCGATTTATAAATGTACATACGTTCTAAACAACGTGCCTTACATAATGAGATATAAATAACATGAAAAATGTTTTATCTTGTAAATACAATTAGTAATATGTAGATACAAACATGTATAGTAGATAGATGAGGGAGATAATTTTGTCGAGCAAATACTCTATGGTAATATGTGATAAGCAGTTATCTCTCTTGTTAATATAAACGGTCTCTTTCGATTTATTTAATGAATTGCCTAACGCAAGCTGAATAAACTTTGTGTAGACAATTATAGTTTGTTTTTACATGCATTTAACATAATTATTTCACTCCAAAAACCTTCAAACATGGAATGGGGATGACTATATCAATAAATGCCAAAAGATATTACGAACTTGCACCTGCAAATATATATAAGTATCTTAAATTTGATATGATCAGTGATAGCTCTTTGATCAAGGAAATATTTTTTTTAATAAATACCTTAAATATGCATGTGCAGACAATATTGTACGTGAAATGTTGTAATGTTTAACATAATCTGACGAGAAATTGACTTTAATAACATTTCATAGATACTCACACGCCTCTTGGCGGTTCCAGAATGATTTATAATAATATATCTAAATCTAGTTTGCCGTACCAAAACCGGATAAAATCACAAGTCATTTCCGTAATGAAACTTAACTCCGGTCCTTTCCGTCAATCTTCGAATAAGGTCTATCGTTTTTATATACATATAAAAATGAGAAATGATTAGTTTTATTAGTTTTATTAACTATTTTTCACTTGTTTATTTTAAAGTAAATAAAAGACAGCAGAACAAGACTGTACATGAGATAAGTGATAAGAAATGATAAAATCTTCATTTCTTTTCACCAGTTGACATAAATTCACCAGTTTTGTATTAGTTTGTGCATAAACTTAATATGTTATGTTTTCGTGGTATTTGTGCATCAGAAATTATCCGTACTCTTAATTGACAAGTATATTATAATAAAAGACGTTATCTAAGATATCAATAATGTAGAAGCGGGGAATTTATTGTAAAATTAAATCAAAAAGCTTAGAATTTCATAACGTCTGGCTTTATTAAGTTAAAACCATTTCCAATTATAAATTATATATCTAGTATAATAACTTTTGGTATTAAAATTTATTGTGTTGTAAATATAAAGTATTATCTACGAACACGATTGACAGGCAGCCCTGGCTCTTTTTACTGGTGGAAAATCGTCCCTTAATTTTTTTCCCAATTAAAATTTTTTAAAAAAAATAAAGGAAAACCATGATCAGCAGGAGGTAGTTTAATAAATAAAACAATGTTTTGGCGGACGCAATTTTGTTTTTAGTATTTATCTCAGTGTAGCAATACCACGTGACCTGAACGTCATTTTCGGCATCATTTCCAAGGCAAATATTGCTCGGTTCGAAAAGGAAAATAACCGTAAGTATTTTATTTCTGCCCCGATTTCTTTTGGATATGCACCATTCTTCGGAGAAAAATATAAGCTTGCCACAGAATAGTGTTTTTCCTTGAGTATACCGATCGGACAAAGATAACCAAATAACCGGCCATATCTGACGGGAAGTGTTTAACCACTGATGACTAGCTATCAAACACCGATTAATCAGCGTTATGCCCGAATTAGCTCCGACTTACAAACGATAAAACCAAAAGTATTTCAGCATTTAATCATCGACCCATTCCCGTTTGAGTTTGCTTTCTGTCACCGATGGCGGTTTACACAGAAAACCAGAAATAAAATCACGCATGACAACCGATCATAACAGCGAGTAAAATTAAAATTAAATGACCGATTGGGGACCGACCGTACGTGTAACTGGGCCCTTAGGGTTAGGGTTAATGCATTTAATCTGATCAACTTGTACGTGATTATCACAAATTCAATCACAAATTAATGGAGGTTTGTCACGCTGCTATTATACTAATGAAATATGTCTGCATATTCATTTATCTAAAATTAAGGGTCAAACGTTGAAATTGTTGCTGCTTTTCTGCCTACTTTGATTAATAACTTTGCTCAAAAACATTGTTTATTTACCTTAAATTTGAATGTACATTTGCCAGTAGTATCAATTATTCAAACGCAAAATCTAGAAGACGAAATCTTTGCGGTATGATTCTTAGATTCACATTGCCAAAAATAGCTGTTATTTCTGACATAGAAAAGGCTTTTCTCCAAGTTGCTTTAAAGCCATCGGAAAAAGAAGGAACAAGGTTTTTGTGGTTCAAAAACTATAAAAATCCTATTGTTGATGAAAATCATGTTCAAGAGTGCAGATTCAGTAGGGTTCCATTTGGTGTAATATCAATTCCATTTTTACTTGGAGCAACCATTGAGAGTCATCTAGATAAATATAAAACTCCGTTATCAGAACAGCTTTAATAAAATATTTATATATCAGATCAGGTGCAGACACAGTTCAAGACGGCATTGCTTTATACAATGTAGCAAAGATGATATTCAGTGATGCAAAAATGAATTTGAGAGAATTGATTACTAATAGTGACGAAGTCAATTGTTCAATACCTGAGATAGATCAAGCAAAAGATAAAAGGTCAAAGTTTTGGGATATGTATGGAATTCAAATAATGATACTATAGCTGGATCGAAGACTCTTCGTGAAGAGCTATCACTATCAAAAAGAGATGTGTTGAAACAAGTAGCTTCGGTATTTGACCCATTAGGATTATTTGCTCCTATTACAACGAGAGGAAAGGTTTTACTCCAAAAGGTGTGGAGCAAAGACCTAGACTGGGATGATTTACTTGACAAAGAAGATTTGTCTGAGTGGCTTGAAATTAAAAGTGATCTTTTGGAGACAAAAAATGTGAAAATAAACAGACATGTTGGAAATTCAAATGGAAAAGTTGGAGCTAAATACATGCTTATCTGCTTTTGTGATGCCTCTATCAAAACATATGCTATAATAATCTATCTCCGACAGGAGTCAAACAAATCAACTAAAGTCGACCTTGTATTCAGTAAAAATAGACTAACTCCGTTGAAAAGAATGTCAATACCTAGACTTGAACTCTTAGCAGTTCTAATTGGAGTCAGCTGTGTAATATTTGTATTAGCCCAATTGAAATTATTGCTTAATTCAATGGTGATAATGACAGATTCGCATTGTGTATTGCAATGGATTAAATCTGAAAAGAAGCTTCCAACATTCATTAAAAACAGAGTGAATGAAATAAGAGAGCATGACGACAAAGAATTCCAGTACGTCAACACGACGCATGACCCCGCAGATATTGCCAGTCGAGGATGGACACTATCGAAACTTGAAGAGAGTATGTGGTGGAACGGTCCAAAATGGTTACAGAATCCGATCGAAAGTTGGACCTATATGTATTATCAGTCTATGGGTGATTTAACATATCTTGACTGCCAAAATTTAGACAAAAATGAGCTAACAAATGATACCACTGAAGTGAATTAATGTGAAAATGTTGAAATATGTGCATCAGAATTAAAACAAGAAATTGTTTTAACCAAACACAAGATAATTTTCAATTCTCCGTTCAATATTGACGAAGACAACCAAATTAATTCGAGTAACAGCGTGGTGCAAACGTTTTATAAGGAATATTCGTCGACAAAATTGCAAAACCTGATATCTTCTTGCAGTGAATTAGAAGAAGCAGAGGATTTGTGGGTAAAATTTCTTCAATTGAAACACTATTCTGAAGAGTTGGAGTTAATCAAAGTTAAAAAGACAAATAATCTAATTAAACAGCTCGACCTATTCATCGATAGTAATGGTGTATTAAGATGCGATGGTCGCTTGCAACATTCTAGTTTTAATGAAGCAGCAAGATTTCAAATTTTGCTGACTTCTGAAAAAAG